CCGGTGTCGGCGGGCCAGCCCGTACCTACACCATAGCCTTAGCGCCTCCACCTTGCCTACACCCGCGACGCCACTACCAGCTGCGTCGTGGCTAGTCTGGCTCATTCTTGGCGAGTCCTCGCTGCGGACGTCATGGCCGACTACAACATTCTCTTATTCCTATCAACAATTGACCGAGCCCAAATTTTACAATTGACGATTACTAAATTTGCATAAAAAGGAAGTTCAATCAGCATGTTGTATGGTACCAAGTCGAGTAAGAATCGGTCAACCAACGCAAGGCATATGCAACAAAACATTCTCATTGATTAGGGACGACGTCCTTCCTGCCTCACTCTGCTTACGAGGCCATGGGTTCTCTACCCCTTCAGTAGTCACTTCGCTGACCACAGGGGAGCGGTGACGGCTCTTTTCTTTGGGTCTATTTATGGTTAGGTTTAGTATGTTCCATGTGGAGTTCTAATGGCGGCCACCCCAACATCTACCAATACATTTTTCTTCGATCATAGCCACATATGAGCGGCACCCTGATGGTGATGTTGAGGGGTCCATGGGGGCCTTATTCCTTTGCTCCTCCGTCGGGAGAGATCTGGTGCTTGTACGTTATGTAGCGGTTGTCATATCTAGAGGTAGCATCGATATTTGGTGGATGAAGGTCCAAGAATAAGATTGCATGTTCAACAATGGTGGTTCCGCTGTTTTGCCTCGACGACATGGACAACATACGGGCGATTCAGGATTCTAGGAGCACAAGGACGATCCCGGTTTGACACCAAGGTTTTGGATCCCAGATGAAATAAATCCCGTGGGGCACGGAGATTTGTCGGTCACCATGGTAACCGAAAAATACTGAGCGGTTACCGAACAAATTTTGAAGCCAGAAAAAAATCTTTCAAAATTTCCAGATATTTTGCTCTATAGAGGTGATTTCTCGTGGGACACCGAGATATTTTGCTCCCGTCAGGTAACCAAATTTCTCGAGTGGTAACCAAATCTTTGATCGACACACCACAACTACTATGACTCTACCTGTTCAATGATGGAGTAGCAAAGGCAAAATCTCTGAGGGTGTTGCTGTAATTTAGTTTTTCTTGAGTTTGTTTTCTGCAAAATATTCCTAAACTGCCGTCCTCCTCTTCTTTTTTTTTTCTTTTTTTTTTGCGGGTGAAACTGCCGTCCTCCTCCCCTGATGTCTCTCGTGATTTCCGCAAATCTGTGGTAACCTGACATTTTTTTGGGTCTAATGATACGTGGAAATTCCAGTGTGTAAATTGACGTCCTCCTAGTACTACGCACTTAACGGCCGTTGATATATCTCCGTTTCGATTGGACGGGCAATTTTCGGGTGTCTTCGTGTGGCTGCTCTGGCAGTTACGTCGTGGCGCGACTAGTCGGCTGTCTGGTATCGGGCTACAGCAACCGTCCGAGGTCATCCATGTCCCGATTCAATGATGGACCGAATCCGGAACCGCTCTCAGCTGATAGTAACTGCCTTGGTGGCCGGTGGGAGCTGAGGAGTTATTCCAAACCGCGTTTCACCGTGTGAAAACCCAGCAAAATAAAATGAAGGAAAAGAAGTACTCCCTCCGTCCGGAAATACTTGTCATCAAAATGAATGAAAATAGATCTATCTACAACTAAAATACATCTAGATATATCCATTTCAATGACAAGTATTTTCGGACGAAGGAAGTAGAAGTGAAGAAATTATGTAAGAATATTCTACTAGCAGATTGACGTCTCATGTCTTTTCAGGCAAATCAGAAGAAAATGGTCTATCAAGTTCACCTTTTTTTTTCTAAAAAATTGTACGCTGTTAAATCATGGGAGACGACAAACTTGTACCCAGTGCCAATGATACGGGTTCGCTGTTAAATCGATCGATGCTTCTAGTCCGAAACATTCATTTGTCCTTGTAGGGTTTCTATACGGAGTAGCATATGTCATCGCTTGACAGTCAAAACACGACGGAGAAAGGCATGGAGTAAATAAAATATACGGACGATCGACAGCGTGAGTATCCAAGCTAGATAGCCCATCCGTCCTAAAATATGCAGCCACTGAGCATCTCCCGCCTCACGGCTCACGCGCCTACCTTGGACTGGCTCCCTAGCAAATGCACACGTCCGTCCGGACGGGAAGCCGGCCGGTTTCCCGTGACGGAACGGGAATCCGCGGGGTGTAATAATCTAATAATCGGACGAGTTAACGCCGGTCACACGGAGCGCATGCCACCGCCGTGCCGAGCCGAGCCGAGAGGGGAGTTCAATGTGGCGCCCCGCTCGCCGTGACGCGTCGCGCGCCTCGCCGCGCTCCGCATGGCGCCTGGATCCCTACCGGGCATTAAAAACAACTGTCGTTTCAAACCTCTCGACCTTGGCTTCCTTGATCATCAGTCAGTCTGCGTGTCCATGTGATCTCTGGCTCGCCGGGTGTGCACGTACGGCGCCCACGGATGGGCACGTGCCGCCGGAACGCTGCCGCGGGCCAGGTAGGTTCGTCGGCTGGCGGTGGCGGGTCCGCGCAGGTTGGTTGCTCAGGCGTTAAGCTGGCGCCACAGCGTGAGTGAATTGCAAAAAACATCGACACTTCATGTAAGGTTTGCAGGAACCACACATTTACGGAATTGTGCCAAAAAGCACTAATTTTTTTCATATTTTTTTGCAAAAAACACTAGTTGACTGATTTGGCCGTTTTTGATGACGATTATGACAGATGGGTCCCGCTTTTGCCGACGTGGCCTAACGGTTCGCAGGCAACTCCGTTAGACAGAGGTTTTACACCGACACCCTTTTTAGAAAATTAAAAAGCAATCAAGCCCCTGCCCTCCTCGTCTTTCCTCTCCGGAGGCGGAGGCGGAGGCGGGCGTACATGGGCACCGGCGGGCCGGGCGCCCCCGCCGCCGTGGC